CACACACACACACACACACACACACGCACACACACACACACACACACACACACACACACACACACACACACACAACCACACCCCCACACACACACACACACACACACACACACACACACACACACACACAAATGTTTGAGGTGAGAGAAGCAGCACGTACCGTTGTCCACGTCCAGTTCCGCGTCCTCCATGTCGGAGTCGTCGTCATTGTCGTCGTCGTCCACTCCATCCAAGTCCTCCACGAGGAGGCGAGCCACTTCTTCGTCAGAGGGTGAGAACTCGTCGTTCCCCTCGTCGTCATCATCGCCGCCATTTTCGTTCTCAAGCTCCGCGATGAGAGGATCGGTGTCCACGTCGTCATCAGAGTCGTCGTCGTCATCGTCGTCGTCTTCCTCCTGATCGTCGTCCTCCTGGGGCGCAAAGGACCAGAGATGTCGTCGTACACTTTTTGGGCAGAGGGAGCCGCCGCGAGGCTCTCGTGGAGAAAACAACGATGTGCACTACTTCCCGTCAGACAGCAAAAGTGGCATTTGGGGATTTGTTGCCGTGGGTTTCGGCTCACGGAGGCGCTTGATTTGGGCAAAGGGAACTTCGGGGATGTTTTGTTTTGGAATGTGTGTGGGAGAGACACGACACCGTCTCAACCTCTAAAACCGCTTACAACATTTTGGACAGCAAACGTTCTCGTCAGTAAGCCGCTGTGAGCGGCGATGGCGGGGAAGACGCGCTCAGCCGTTTCAAAATATTGGCGCCGTTCGCATCCATTTTGATGATATCGAGCGACGGGAAGCTTGTTGACGCGAAGCTCGTGCGGTTCCCGCGGCCTTTGGCCGGGTCCTACGTCTGCTTGAAGCTAAGGGAACATTTTGGACAGCAAACGTTCTCGTCAGTAAGGCGCCGTGAGCGGCGATGGCGGGGAAGACGCGCTCATCCGTTTCAAAATATTGGGGCCGATCGTTGTAAGAGTGACAGAAGAAGAAGCGCCGTTCGCATCCATTTTGATGATATCGAGCGACGGGAAGCTTGTTGACGCGAAGCTCGTGCGGTTCCCGCGGCCTTTGGCCGGGTCCTACGTCTGCTTGAAGCTAAGAAAGACTGCGTCCTACCGCTCTCTTTAACCTCATGACTGCGTGCGTCCTGATACGCCTGCGTGGGAAGCCAGAAAGTAGCCATGTCGCTGGCCGTCATCCTCTCCCACGCCGCCACGCGAGTCGGAAATAGGAGCTGCTTTCTCTTCTAAGCGGCAGCAATCGGCTCACGTTGTTGAAGTCTGTCACCGTCATCGAAGGTGGACCGGCGCAAACAGTTAACATGGCAACAAAAACATTGACAGATGACCGTCGACGGCCTCGCGGCGCGGCACACCCTGAAGCGGAGAAGGCACTTTATACTGTATTACATGTACAGGTTTTGACATCCGTAACCCTGCACTCTGCATCGTAGCTGGCGGCCATTTTTTGGGGAAACAGGTGCAACAAATTAGCGTCCTGACGTACAGATTCATTACGTGGTTCGACTGGAACAATGCAATAAATACCTGATCCTCCTCGTCCTCCTCTTCTTCCTCCGCCAGTCTTTGTCGGCCAACTTCATAAAGGCGGCAGACTGTGTCCGTGTTGATGGAGTCTTGGTTCTATGAAATAAAAGCATCGTTTTAGCATTTGTCCATTAGCATCCATCGCCTATCCGGGGTCGGGTCGCAGGGGCAACAGCTGTAGCAGGGAAGCCCAGACTTCCTTCTCCCCAGCCACTTCTTCCAGCTCTTCCCGGGAACTGCGAGGCGTTCCCGGGGCAGCATGTCCTGGGTGGTCCCTGGGGCCTCCATGCCCGGAACACCTCACCAGGGAGGCATCCAGGGGGGCATCCTTAATCAGATACCCGAGCCACCTCATCTGGTTCCTCTCCGCGTGGAGGAGAAGGACTCGACTCTGAGCCCCTCGTGGATGACCAAGCTTCTCACCCTCTCCCTAAGGGAGAGCCTGGACACCCTGCATAAAAACTCATTTCGTCCGCTTGTCTCTTCAGGTCACGACCCATAGATCGTGACCATAGGTGAGGGATGGAACATAGATCCAGCGCTAAATTGAGAGCTTGGCCTTTTGCCTCAGCTCCTTCCGATACAAAGTCCGCATCACAGCAGACGCTGCAGCGATCCGCCTGTCGATCTCCCGCTCCCTCCTGCGCGAACAAGACCCCAAGATAGTTCAACTCCTTTACTTGGGGAACTCCGCCCTTTTCCGACTGAGGACCTTTGTTTCAGATTTGGAGGTGCTGATCCTCATCCCAACCGCGTCACACTCGGCTGCGAAACGCTCCAGTGAGAGGTGGAGAGCCCTGCTTGAAGGAGCCGACAGTACCGCGTCATCTGCAAAAAGCAGAGATGCAACACTGAGGCCACCAAACCGGACCACCGTCAACGCTTCGGCTGCGCCTAGAAATTCTGTCCGTAAAGGTTATGAACAGAATCGGCGACAAAGGGCAGCCTTGGCGGCGTCCAACCCTCACTGGAAACAATTCCGACTTCCTGTCAGCAATGCGAACCAAACTCAAGACATCGGTGGTATAGGGACCGAACATCCCGTAGCAGGGGGTTCGGTACCCCCGTGCTCCCGAAGCACCCTCCACCGGAACTCCCCGAGGGACACGGTCAAACGCCTTCTCCAAGTCCACAAAGCACACGTAGACTGGTTGGGCGAGTTCCCTCGTGCCCTCGAGGACCCTGCTAAGGATGCAGAGCTGGTCCGCTGTCCCGGGGCTCGACTTCCCGACGGAGCCTCCTCTCCAGCACCCCTGAATAGACCTTTCCAGGGAGGCCGAGGAAGAAATTGATTCAACATATTCGAAACGCAACCTTACGCGGCGGCTTACCTCAATCACAGCAAGGTAGCAGTCTTTCGAGTCTGTGCACAGATCAAAAATATTCTTCTTGACATCAATGGTGGCTGGGAGGGGGAATGGGGAAAAAAAAAAAAACAAAAAAACCCACAATGACATTAGTAAAGTAACCACACATAAAATCTTTTTGGAGGTGACTCAAGAGGACGGGCGGGCATTCTATTCGGCAAGGCTGAGGCACGAGGCCGGCGAGCAGCCATACCGATGGGTTTGTAGTCCGTGGCGTTGAAAGTCCGGAAGGATGACCCAAAAGGACTTTTCATCTGCATCTCCATCATGTCGTCTTCGTCGTCAGCCTGTAATATCGCTGCAGACATATGTGGGTGAAAAGCCGATTCTGGGCGCTCTCGCGGCACACGCGGCGGCTGCGGCGGCGGCCCAACGCCACTTCCCACCGTGAGGTGTTTATTCACCTCCGTAAATGACGGTGCCGTTGTTGTTGAAGACTGTCCTGCACTGGTCCAGAGCAGGAACTGTATGGAGGAGATGGAAGGTTCGCAGGTCCCACTAAGAATTCACATTAAGGAACGCTACATTCTGTTGGACTCGAAGCAAACTGGAGCGACATGAATGTACTGATCCAACTGTTCCAGAAGATTAAAAAAAAAACAAAAAGAGGATACAATTTCCGTGTTAATGATGACCTCGAGGCCATTGGGGTGGAACACGCCGCTGATGTTCATGTTGAACTTGTCAAACTTGTGGATGGCCTGAGCGGAGCGCACGTCCCACAGCACGCCGTCGTTCAGTACCAGGTCATCGGTAGGGTTAAAGGTGGCACAGTTCCTCTTGTAGTTATTAGCCAAGTCGGGGTTATTTAGGGTCAGGGTCACCTGGCCCGTCTGGATGTCATAAATCTAAAAAGAGAAGCGTTTGCTGTGAGCTGAGGTCGGCCGAGCTCAGGATCTTGCTCTCTTTTTGAATATTCCATGCCGTCGGATTGACATGGAGGCGCTCGCTACGTACGTGCGCGAGTTGCTCCTCGGTCCCAATGACGCGATCTTGGGACAGCTTGCTGAACTCCACGTAATGGTCACCCAGAAAGGAATGCCTGCGGACGGACAACGTTGCATTTTCAACGGGAACGTCGGCGAGGATCGAGGAACTTGTAAAGCTTGTTGCCGAGCTCGGGATCAATCGGCGGAGACTTGCAATAATGGGAAGTCACGATGCTGGGTGTGCGGTGAAGCCAAGCCACCGGGCCTCGGCGCCGTCAGCGGGCATCATAAAAATAAGCGCGGCGCCTTTTGAACGAGCCCCGTTGTGCCGTCACGAAGCTGCCGCATGTAGCGAATGTAGCGAAGGGGATAAAAAAAGTGCTCACGTTCGCTTCGCACTGCAGCCGCTTCACATCATTTTGCTGCTCTTCTGTTTTTTCCAAACAGGTTTCGAATTCAAATGCTACTTTAAGAAACGACGCATTTCAGCGCAGTCGTTAGGCCGACAACCGTTTGGTGCGATGAGCAACTCACTTCATGATGAACACCGACTTCATCCCCCACAGCGCAGACGTCGGGTAATTCCAGGAGGCTGAAGTTAAAATTAAGGAGCCATCCTAAAAGCCAAACGAGAGCCGTTAAAAGTGACAAGCAAAGCACGGCCGCGCGCGGCGGGGCGGCCTCGTTCTCTTACTCGAGAGGGCTCGAGGTGGGTGATGGCTGAACTGTGACAGCTGTAGCTGGCCTCCTCCTGGCCCGTGAACACGTTGTAGAGTTTCAATTGTCCCGCGCAGGTCCCGAGCATCAGGAAGCGTTCGCGAGCTGAGAAGGCGCAGCACGTGAATCCGCTTTCGTTCTCGTCGGCTTTCCTGAAAACGGAGATCGGACGGAACCTGAAGACAGCGGAGAAGGGGGG